TGTGTGTGTGTGTGTGTGTGTGTGTGTGTGCAACTGTGTGCATATCTGAGCAGGAAGGCCCCTGCGACACAGCCTGCCAGCCATCCCAAGACCTTGCCACATGTGAGCTCGGTGCTTGTGCCTGACCTCTGTGGCGCAGAGGGGGCCACACCTTGGCACCAGGCACCCCTGGCTCAGCCCACCTTCTCTCCCTGCCCAGGGCCGGACCAATGGGGTCAACAGTGCCAGAAGGACCGACAGTCCCCCATCAACATTGTCACGGCAAAGGCACAGCTGAACGAAAACCTGGGACCCTTCTCCTTCTCTGGCTATGACAAGAAGCAAAAGTGGTCTGTCGAAAACAATGGGCACTCAGGTGCGTCCAGGTGGGGAGGCTGGAGGACCTGGGCAGGCATGGACATTCGGTCCAGGGACCCCTGAGTCCCCTGAGGATAGCAGGACACACAAGCCCAGGTCCACCTTTGCTGAGGAGGAGCTGGAAACTCAGTGCAGGGGAGGGGAGGGCAGACAGAAAGGGCTTTGGAAAGCAGGGAACACTCCAGCAGCATTTTCAGTACTATCATCAGATCAGTCTGGGGTTGATTGGAGAGGGGACGTTCTAGGACGAAGGAAGGACATGTGCAAAGGTGTGGAGGCATGAAACAGCTCAGGGTGTTCAGGGAACTGCACGTGCCTGTGTGTGGATGGAGGACAGAGAGTGACCGTGGCAGGGGCTGAGCCAGCCCAGCCGCCAGCCGCCAGCCAGCAGGCCGGCGAGGGCCCAGGGGCAGATCACCAAGGGATGAGGAGCTGGATATTCCCCTGAGGATGCCAGGGCACCACAGAGGGGGGCTGGAGCAGGTGAGGGACGACCAAGTTTCATGTTTGGGGCAGAGGGAGAGGCAGGTGGGGAGGCCAGTAAGGGGCCAGGGAAAGGTCTGAGGCTGCACCTCCCATCTTGTCCCCTCCCTCCAGGTCACCCACAGCCCATGGAGGGTGGGAGGTAGGAGAGGTCTTGCCTAGGTGGAGCTGGGAAGAGTGGTTGCAGAGGCTAGGGGAGGTGGGTGCCAGGATCTGCCCCCTCCTGTGCCTTTCAGTGATGGTGTTGCTGGGGAACGAGTCCACAATTGCTGGAGGAGGACTGGCCTCCCGATACCGGGCCAAGCAGCTGCACCTGCACTGGTCCGCGGTGCTGGATGCAGGGTCAGAGCACAGCCTCGATGGGGATCGCTTTGCCATGGAGGTGAGTGGCCCCCTCCTGGGTTAGTGCCTTGGCTGGGCTCTGAGTGTACCTGCCTTAGGCAGGAAGGGTGGCCCAGCCCCCACAAGTTCTCTCTCCTCTCTCACCCCCCACCAGATGCACATAGTACATGAGAAAGAGAACAGGAAAGAGGCCCAGGACCCCAAAGATGAGATCGCAGTGCTGGCCTTCCTGGTAGAGGTGGGACCCCCATCCCCCAGGGTCTGAGGGGCTGCCAGAGACCCTGGATTCCAGCAAGACAGGAAGGGGCTGGGGAGGCCCCAATTTCTGTTTCTCAGTGAATTGTATACCCTGGGTGGAGAGCTCAGAGTCTCTCAGGGTCTCAGACCAGAGCTGCCTACGCTCTCTTTCCCAGACCCAGAGAACGAATTGGTGGTCACCACCAGCCCCCACAAGCCCCTCACCAGCCCCCTTCCCTCCTGTTCCAGGCTGGGTCCAAGAATGATGGCTTCCAGCCCCTGGTGGAGGCGCTGTCTGATGTCCCCACACCCAGTGAGTCAGGATGACCAGAAGCGGGAGGCTGAGGGGGTGATGGGAGGGTGGAGACTTCTTCCTACTAAGGGGGGCTGGGCTCTCAGAGTGAGGTGTGTGAGGGGGGATCAGCGGCTCAGAGATCCCCCCTCCACTGACAGTACCCTTTACCCACCCCACCAGCGATGAGCACCACGGTGAAAAAGAGCATCAGCCTGTCAGACCTGCTCCCTGAGGAGGAGAAACTGAGGCACTATTTCCGCTACCTGGGCTCGCTCACCACGCCGGGCTGTGAGGAGAAGGTTGTCTGGACTGTATTTGCAGACCCCATTCAACTCCACAAGGACCAGGTACACAGGACCCAGCCTCCCCCTGCCCAGCTGCAGGGAAACGGTTTCTCCAAACTGGATCCCCCTAGAGGTCCTCTGGGCTGGGCTGGGCTGGGCTGGGGCGCCCCAGGGAGCTGAGGGCCTGTTGGTTGAATCTGCAGACACTCCCTGCGGGAAACTGACAAGAAAGGTCCCAGCTGTCCCATCTCTGGGTTAAGGGCTGGAAGGGAGGCTGTGGTAGGGGTGGCAGAAAAAGGCTTCAAGGCTGCACCCTGAAAAGTAGGTGGGAAGGTGGGAATCAGCCAGCTGAAGGCAGGGGACTTGTATCCTGGGGAGAGGTGCCTGCATGGGAGGACCCAGGCTGACCAGGAGCAGCTGAGAGAGCGTCAGTGTAGCCACAGTAGGAAAACAGGTCATTCATTCCACAAACGATCCTCAAGTCCTTATAACACACTAGAGTCTGGGGATACAGCAGTGAGTCAATCCCTGCCCTTGTGGCATTTTGTTCCGGGACAGTGGTTCTCAAAGAGTGGTCCCTGGACCAGTGGCATCAACATCATCTGGGAACTTGCTAGACATTCAGATTCTCAGGCCTCACCCCTGACCTACAGAATCAGAAAGTCTGGGGGTGGGGCCTGGCAGTCTGGGTCCCAGCAAGCCCCCCACACGACATTCACTCATGCTCAAGTGTGAGGACCATTGTTCTATGGTAACTGCAGCGACAGCGGTGATAAGCATAGGCCCTCAAAGCTGTCCACTTGGCTAAGGGAAGCTAATGGGGATCGAGTGCCCACCAATGCCCAGCACTTTCCATTCTTTACATCCACAAGGAAACCTGAGAGGTAGGGATTCCGAGCCCCTTCCCTAATGAGGGCTCAGAAAAGCAAGGGGACTGGCCTGGGGTCACGCCGCAGGGAGTCCAGCTCCACCTGTCCCCCGCCCCAGCTGAGCCCTGTCCCCCTGCAGATCCTTGCGTTCTCTGAGAAGCTGTACTATGACAAGGAGAAGAGACAGAAGATGGAAGACAACGTGAGGCCCTTGCAACGCCGGGGGAAGCGCGTGGTGTTCCGATCCGGGGCCCCGGGCCCACTGCTGCCCTTGCCATTGCCCGCTCTGCTAGCCCCCGCACTTACCTGCCTGCTGGCTGGCTTCCTCCAGTGATGGGTCGCTTCTGGAAGCTTGACTTCTGACCTCGGCCCTCAGAAGGCTAGGGCCTCCCTTCGTCGGGCTTCCCAGGTTGCACTTCGATGATGATGGAATTACGGATATTTTTTTGGAGAAACCTTTCTCAGGTCTGTTTTCAGTTCCCACAGCTACCCCTGCCCCGTTCCAGGGTAGGGACCTTAAAGCCTGGAGATTTCTTTGGAACAGGTACCACAAGTTCCTCACCCTCACCGTTGTGAACTCCCTGTCAACCCGCCACGTGGAGAGATGCGAAGGCACCTTGGAGCCCCAGCACAGTGAAAGGACAGAGGCTGGGTGGAGGCCACACGGAGAGGCCATGGCAGAGCTGACCAAGACCTTAGCCAGCGCCTTCTCCTCTGTACTGGGGGTGGAGAGTGAGGGTTATGTGTGGCTTCGACAAGTTCATTTATTTGCTGAAATATTTCTGGAGTGTCTATATTCTAGACACTGGGGATATGGCAGGGAAGGAGACAACATTTCCTGAGCCTGGAGTTCCCATCAATAAAATAGACACATTGTACAATGTCTCAGAAGACAGTAAGTGCTATGGAGAAAGCTGCCAGAAGGGAAGGTGGGCAGGGAAGGCCTCATCGGGAAGGGACATCTGGGAGACTTGGAGAAGGCCAGGGACGAGGCCATCTGGAGCCAGCCAGTGTTCAGGGAGGAGGAAAGGAGAGGGGCAGGGGAGAGGCTGTGTGTGTAGGGGTGGGGGGGCCTCGAAGTAGGACCTTGTAGGGATGATGGTTTGGGGCATGAGAGACTGGGAACCACCAGAGGGTCTTTGCTTTGTGGAGCAGGGGCTGCAGGGGGAGCAGTTGGGGGATGCTGCAATGGTCCAGGAACTGATGGGTCAGAAATGGATGTGAGAGAAGCAGGAGTCAAAGGTTAATCCAAGGACTCTGGCCCTTGTACTTGGGAGCTGTGAAGCCCCCTCCCCCAACTCCCCCTCCCCACTCCTGTGTCTCTGATGATTTTTCTCTCCAGGGCCCAAGGGGAAAGAGAGACTAGGAGGGGGTGGGTAGAAAACTAAGGGAGAAGGAAATAAGGGCCCCACTGGTGGGACCCAAGCCCTGCCAGGCCCCCAGATCCAGGATTTGAGGGGCCCCAGGCTCTCATACCTCATCATTCAGGGAAGGGCTGGGTTTTGAAGACTGGGCCTTGAGATGCAGGGGAAGGAGACAAGAACGGGCCTTGCTGGGTGAAGAGGTATCCCAAGGGCCAGGGCCAAGTGCAGTGGGACCAACCTACAGGCTCTACTGTCTGGAGGTGATAAACTTCCCACATGGAGATACATGAGCTGGGCAGCACACAGGGATTTCATTACCCAGTGTGAGAAGTGCTGGCTGCTGTGGTCTTGAAGGGGAGCTGTTTGGGGGAGGTGTCCTCTAAGCCCTCTCCTACCCAGATGCCCTCAGTCCCTGACTGCTCCCAGCTAAGCCTGGGAAGAGGGAGAAAGGGCTGCTCCCCCTCCATACTAGCTTCCCCCTTCCTTTTGCCCTTCGTGACCAAGAATAAGCACCCCCCTCCTTTCACTGGTGACCACACAGCTGTAGGTGGCTGCGGGGAGGAGACTGGCATTGCTGTCACCATGGCAACAGCAGGCAGCCTGCGTCAGCAGGGGGTATATGGACACTGAACCTGTTCTCTCTGGTTCCCACAGCAGCCTGCAGGGGATCTAAGATCTAAGTTGCACCCCCCCAGCTCAGGGCTCTCAGAAGTCCAAACCACCCCTTCCCCCATCTGCACTCCCACCTCCCATCCTTGCCCTCAAGGCAACATTCAGTGAATGGCAGCAGAACCAGGAAGTCCCAGCTCTTTGCAAGAGACTAGGGGAGACTTGCCTCCAACCCTAGGCAGAAGGCACACCACCCTCCCCCATCCCCCTGACTCCACAATAATAAACAATAATAAACCTGGCCAGTGGGGGCCAGAATGGGCACAGCTTGTCCGAGGCCCAGGGCTCAGGCCTCCTCCCAGCATTCCACCTGCCCTCCCTGCGCCTGGAGACTGGAGCAGGTGCTGGCAGCACACCACGCAAAGCAAGGTCACTCCGGGCCAGTCACCCCAGGGGTGGGCAGCCAACCCCACTGGAATTGGCCCCCGCACCCTGGAGACTGAGACTGATGGGCAGCCCTTCTGTGTGTGGTCTTGAGAGCCTCCTCTTCTGAGTAAATTCACCCCCTCTGTGCTCCCCACCACCCTCAGCAGACCCCCTCTGGCTTCTGACACAGAGATGATAGGGGGCTACCAGTGGCCCCTTGTTCAGAAAGAGGGCCTAGCCTACCTCCAGTCATTTCTCTGCACCAACTTGGCTCCCAGGGCCAGGCTTCGCCTTTGGCAGTTATCCTAGGGACACAGGACCAAGGGCAAGGCGGGGTCTGCAGTGCCCTGTCCCACCCTGTCTCCACTGGCTGATCTGTGTCCCCAGAGGGCAGTCTTCTGGCCCCCAGTTTAGATTTGGCATCTGGGTGGGAGCCAGGGCCTGAAAGTACTCCCTGTGTGTTTAGATGATTCTTGGAAAATAAACTGCCCCATCTTGGTTCTTGGGTTGCACACTTGCTGGCCCTGCTTCCTGTGGCTCTGATCTGACAGTGCAGGGGCAGGGAAAGGGAGGGGAAAGGAAGAGTGTAAGGGTCTATAGGGGTCCAGGGTCATGGGTGGTGGTGGTAATGGGTGCACATGCACACATGTACCTGTAAAAGCCACTGTCATAAAACTCCAGGAGGTGCCTATACAGAGACCACACTGTGACTGGCACCCTGTGTGGTGTGCCTCTGTGCTCATGTGTGGGGTGTGGGTGGGCAGAGGCAGGGAAGTTGGTGGCCTTGCAGGCATGGAGCCATGGCTTCCCTGCACAATGGCCTAAGCGTGCCCTCTGCATCTAACTGAGCCTAGCTGGCCCCATCTCCAGCTCGTGACCTTGGGAGGAAGGCCAAGCCTATCTCCACGGGTGGGGCGCTGCTCCTGCACCTTGCACGACACACTTCAAGCAGGCTCTGTTTGTTTATTTGAGAAGGGACAAAGGCATTATCTCCTCTAGAGACCAAGGACTTGTCCCAGGGCCCAGGCGCCTGCCTGGGGAGGGGCTTCCTTTAGCAGAGAGCTACACAGGACAGACGAAGTTACAAGCCAGTTCCTTCCTCAGAGCCCTAGCTTCAGCTGAGACTGGACACGTAGAAGCCTCTTCATATTTCAAGTGTTGGCTACTGCAAGGCCTGGGAGGACAGGAAGAGGGACAGAGAACAGGGAAGGGATCTGGGTACATTTTGGAACAAGATTTAGTCTTTCAACAAACACTATTATTTCCTCTGTACCAGGGACTGAGGATTCAGGGCAAAAAAAATCCCAGTCTGTGCCCTTCCTGCAAGACTCCTGACCAAAGGGCAGACGCAAGGCACAGTGGTACCAGGCTTATGAAAAAAAGCCTGAGAGGCACAGCTACTCTTGGAGCCTGGGCCCCAGAACCACACACACCTGGGTTTGAATCCTCTCCCACTTCTGACTAGCTAGTGAGGTGCCTTTGGCAATTTAATTCACCCAAGCCTCAGTTTCCTCATCTGTAAAGTGGGGACAATGATGGTGTTTACCTCACAATATTGTTGTAAAGATGAAACAAGATGCCTGGCCAAAGGGATGTATTCAATAATTTGTAGTTATGATTTTTTAAAAAAATATATCTCCTAACATCCTAGGTTTGTTCTTTTTACTTCTGTTGGCCCAGGGACCTTAGGAGCTGGACAGAGGTGGGGAGGTGGGACTAGGAAGGGTGACAGAAAGGGCTTTGGGTCAGGTCAAGACCTCTAGCTCCAAACTGGACTTTGAAGTATCTGATAGTATCATTTTTTCTCTCTTCCATTTTTTAAAAATAGTGTCTTATCAGGGATTTAACTGTGATATGGTAGTTCCAGACGTAGGATGGGAAAGGATTTATTTATTTATTTAAATATATCTTTATTGATTTCAGAGAGAGGAAAGGAGAGGGAGAGAGAGAGAGAGACATCAGTAATGAGAGAGTCACTGGGGATCGAGCCCGCAACCCGGGCATGTGCCCTGATTGGGAATCGAACCCGAACCCCGATCGCCTGGATCCTAGGTTGATGCTCAACCGCTGAGCCACGCCCGGCCAGGTGGGAAAGGATTTAATGAGCTGTTCTTGGGAAGGCCGCCACCAGTCACAGCAGCCATGAGATTCCCTTGCTCCCTGCTGGCCCCCTGCCAGACTGGGCTACCTGCTGTTGTTTAACCCACTGAGGACAATACCTCCTCCCTTAAGCCGAGGCCTTTTCCTTCCTGGCCTTCCCTGGGAAGGGAGGGATAACAATTGAGTTTGACTGTTTATACCCAGGTGTTTGCTCCCATAAACCCGGGCTCTAAACCAAATACCACATGTCCATCCGGCCATCATGAGAGGCCCATCACACAGCAGGCAGACTCCTCAGTTACCTTCCATTCATTCCTGGCTGTGCTGAGACCCAAAGAGGCAGCCATTGTCTTCCCCCAGGCTTTATGAAACCAGCTTTGGTTTTCTCATCTCTCCTTTTTGATGATAATGGAAATGCTAGGCCTCAATCCAAAGCTGATATATGTCAGAGAGAGAGAGAGAGAGAGAGAGAGAGAAAAAGAAAGAACAAGGGAAATAGAGAGGAGAGAAAACTTGTCTAATTTGGATTCTGGGGACATAACCAGTATACATTTAGAGGAAAATCTAAACTCCATAACTGATTTAAAAAGAAACGCTGAAATCAAGGGCCTGCTGCACTGTCCAGGCAACACCCTTTCGGAGGTGGTGACATGAGAAATACACCTGGCGAAGACTTGCATGGAACACTCCATCTGTAATCCTGTTTGCATTGATAGTTTACTAGGAAACCCTTTCTTCATCTTGGAGCACAGGACAGCCTCTCCCCTCTTCCTGAACTTAAACTATCACCAAATTCCACATAGCAGTGTGGAGTCAGCTTCCTGCTGGCTGTGCTGGTCTGGCCACCAGGCTCAGTGAAAGGTCACTCATTGTGATGATGCAGGTTTCCTGTGTGCCCTCCGATGTGTCCCTCTCTCCGTCCCTGGCTGTGTCC